AGGTTTCTAGATATAGTCACTTTTATGCATTTATATGTACCAAACTGCACAGAAAAGAATGTGCTTAATAATATAATTTAAAATTTATGAGATAATATGAAAGGGAGCACTTGTGGCCTGGTGGGAAAAAAGCTGTGCTGTAATCCCAAAGGCACATGGTTCGAGGCCACCAGCTGATGGGCAATCTCCTCCCATGTGATTAGCTGCCTCTGAAAACCCACCAGAGGGTCAGCTATGGGTTGGTTCCAACTCAATGGAACTCAGCAACAACAACAATAATGTGGGTAAACAGACTGAGCTGCGCTGTAGTGACTTATTTGATGCGCTCTTCTAAGCCGTTGTCCTTGTGACTTTCACCTTGTGACTAGAAAGGACTATGCAAATGTGTTTGTGGTCCATAAAGAGGGTTGGATAGCTTGCTAAAAATGTAAACAATATCAATGGCATCTCTGTGTGGTGCTATACAAACAAGGTTATCTATGTGGAATGCTAACTCGGAGATTTGGTCTGTTTTATCATGCTGCCAGCCATATGTTGAGCTGTCCCAGAAGAAGAAAATAGAACTCTCACAGCTATCAGGAAGGAAGAACAGGTAAGTGCAGCATATTCTGAATATGGAGAGCTCTGTAAGAATGAGGAATGAAACACTATAGTGCTAAGAGAAGGTGAAAGACAACAGGAAGTGAAATGCAATGGGCCAGAAAAGGTGATGGAGAGCCAGAGACCTGAGTGAGACAGACTGTAGGCTTATGATTCATGGAATGAAGAAGCTGGATGCTTTCTAGCTGAGAAAATGCATTTGGGTACCTGGAGAAGCTAGGTCAGCGGACCCAGGAAGCCAGAGCCCACCCACCTTGCTTACTGAAAGAATGGTGGTGGTTGCTGTTGTTAGGTGTAATCAAAATTAGTTCGCTTCATGGAAGCCCTGTGAATACTCAGTCTGAACACTGTCCTATCCTGTGCCATCCTCACAAACTGAAACACTCATGCCCATTGCTGCAGTCACCATGCCAACCCAGTTGCTCAAGGGTCTTCCTCTCTTTCACTACACCTCCATCTTCCCAAGCATGATGTCCCTCTCCAAGGAATAACCTCTCCTGGCAACATGCTTAAAGTATGTGAGATGAAGCTTCATCATCTTTGCCTTCAAGGAACACTCTGGCTGCACCTTCTTCAAGACTTATTTGTTTGTTCTTTTGGCAGTCCAATGGATGTTCAGTACCCTTCTCCAGCACCACAGCTCAAAGGCATCAATTCTTCTGTCATCCTTAGTCATTGTCCAGCTCTCAGATGCATAGCAAATAACTGAAAAGACTGAAATGGCCTGAAACAGTTGTACCTTATTCCTCAAACTGACATCATTATTTTTCAATAAGTTGGAGAGGTCCATGACTACAGACTTTTCCAGTGCAATGTGTCTCCTGATCTCTTGTCTCCTGGTTCCAAGTGTACTGATTATGGATGCAAGTAAGGAGAAGTTGTTTACAGTTTCAATCTTGCTCTGTCAATCATGATGTTGCCTATCAGTCCAGTGGCAAATATGTTTTGTTTTCTTGACATTGAGATGCAATCCATATTGAAGGTTACAGTGTTTAATCTTTTGCAGCAAGAAGTTCAAGTCTTCCTCCCTTGGGGTGGCACATAATTGGTAGAGCCAAATGAGCTTTATAATACTTGTTTAAACAAGACAGAGACTAAGGCCAGCAAAGGTCCTGCCTTTGGGTACCACTGAGAGGGGGTTGGTTTGACTGAAAAGCTGTATCCTGAGTGTTCCTTTACATGAATTGTAATCTATTACTTTCCCAAGAAGCCCCATAAGTATTGTCTGTGATTTCTGTATGGTCATTGCAACAAATTATCAAATCCAAATGAGTTCTAAGGGAGGAACAGTTGGTGTCAGAATTTTAAGGAGGAGGTAGGAAGTGTGAGGACATGTCTGACCTCATAGGATGTGTCTGATCTCATAACTTTGTGCTGCTGATGCTTTTGATGAAGAGTTTTTCTTTCCCCCTTATGAAGTTAGTAGAGATCAGACACCACCTCCCATGCCTGCCACACTGTTTTACACTGACGTAATTATACAATGAGATACTATAAAGCAATATTGTTATTGTTGTGTGCCATTGAGTCAAAACCTACCCATAGCTGACCATTCAGTATGTTTTCAGAGACAGTAAATCATATGGGAGGAAATTGTCTATCCTTCTCCTGAGGAGCAGCTGGTGGATTTGAACTGGTGCCTTTGCGATTGCAGTGAACTTTCTTACCACTAGGTCACCAAAGGACCCTTTTACAAATTATAGATACATGCATGAACATGAATTCTATAAGCATACTTCTAGTCCCCCTCACCCCAGGAGAAATACTAGTCACAGTTTGTTTCCACTTCTAAGATTAGCTTATTTTAGGTAACAAACTTACATGTAATTTTTAAAAATACAAGAATTTTGATGAAAAGTCCAAGTTTTCTGTTACTTCAAGCAGTTTAGAAAACAGAAGAGTTTTCTACTATCTAAAGCAGCAAGTTAAGTTTTGTAAAGCAGGGATCAGGAAACTTTTGCAAAGGGAAAATTTAAAGATGTAAAAATTTTTACATAGTAAGAGCAGCTGAAAATATCACATGAAAGAACAAACATGGTTATGTTCAATTAAATTTTCTTTCTAACAAAAGACAATGGGCTGATTTTAAATACATATATTAACTTTTGCATTAAAAACCTACACGAATAGTATTACATGCTTTGTTCAAAATGTTAACTAAAAACCACAAAAGCATACATTCAAGACAATGATATATATTGGAAAGAAAGAGATGAACAAATGCACATTCTCTTGAGCAATTATTGACTGAGAGAGAGAAAGAAGCCATAGCCTTTTCATTTCCTTGGAGTCTGGTGGCCTAGTAGGTAAAGAGTTGTGCAGGCAGTCTGAAATCATTAGCTGTTCTTATGGGGAAAGGTGGACAATCTTCATCCATGTGATTTATAACCTCTGAAAATCTGCTGGAGGGTCAGTTATGAATTGGTTCCAAACAGACAGGAAGGAGAAAGAACAGATTTCTTGTCTCATTTTAAAATTCAAAAGCCTTGCATTTAGCTTTGGGCATGCACTCAGGTCCAGTTCAGGGGCCAGACTCCTTGGCTTCAGGATTCCCACCTCTGTTCAGTGGGTTAGCTCTGATGTCAGACAGCCAAGCACATCTGCGGTCCAGGTGACAGCCTTTAGCAGGCAGAGTCAATTACTGTTTAAAGCTTTGGGTTATTAACATAGAATTTCTACTTATAATGGATTGCTGCCCAGATTCACAGGAGAACATATCACAATGCATTTTAAAAGAACCCTCTGCAGTCAATAACAATACAAAATATAACAAACCTGACTGGCCTAGATAAAAAAGCCCAATGACCTTAACACAAAATGCTCTCTTCCTTAGCTTATCAACTTATACGAGGCAATGTGAATGGAGATAAATGTGGGCATGGAAGCAGTAAGAAATGTTGAAGCTATTCATTGTCCTGAAGCTATTAAAAAAAAAGTCACACTCCCATATGAATGGCTAGACAACATCTGGCTCTAATCCTAAGAAAGCTGTTTATGTTGACCAAAAATGCAGGTGAGTGAGTAGAAATATGTCACTTTCTCTGTCTCTAGCTCCAGGCTGCCTTGGTCACTGTATCTGTCATCTGGGGACTAACGGTTGTTGTTGTTGATCATCTTCGAGTCGAGCACAACTCACAGCGACCCTATGAACAAAAAGGCCTGAAGCCCCTCTACAACTACAGACATTTATCAAAGTTCATAGAGTTTCCAGAGGCATGTTGTTTAGGAAGTGGATACTACTCCAGCTTCCATATCTGTCATGGTATGTTATTGTTGTCATGTGCCGTTGAGTTGCCTGTAAAGTATAGCAACCCTATGTAGAGCAGCCCTGCACCCTTCCCTGCCCTGAGCCAGTCTCACAAATTTGGACACACCAACCCCCATCGCCCCAGTTACTGTATCACTCCATCTCATCTGGGGTCTTCCTCTCCTGAGCTGTCTGTCCACCTTCCAAGCATGATGTTTTTCTCCAAGGATCGATCTCTTCTGACCACATGCCCAAATTAAGTGAGGTGGAGCTTCAAAATCCTAGCCTCTAAGGAAATACTTTTTTTCACACTCTCCAAGACAGATTGATTTGTGTTTTTTTTTTTTTTTTGTGGTGGTTTTTTTTTTGTTTTTGGCAGTCCATGGTATTTTCAGCACCACAACTCGAAGGCATCTATGCCTCTTCTGTTATCCTTAGGCATTGTCCAACTCTCTGAAGTAATTGTGAAGAAATAATTGAGAAGACCATGGCCTGGAATAGGCGCACCTTTGTATCCAGACTGACGTTGTTGTTCTTCAGCACTCTGGAGAGGTCCGTGACAGGAGATTTTTCTCAATGTAATTATTTTGATTTCCTGACTGCTGGCATTAAGAGTGTTGATTGTGGAGCCGAGCAAGTTGTAATTGCTAACCACCTCAATCTCTTCTCTATTATGGTGCTGCCAATTGGCCCAGTGATGCAAATTTTTGTCTTTCTGATGTTGGGCTTCAATCTATTTTGAAGACTACAGTCCTTGACCTTTTGCAGCATGTGCTTCATGTCTTCTTCAGTTTCAGTAAGCAAGGTTGTGTTATCTGCATATTGTAGGTTGTTAATGAGTCTTGCTCCAATGTTGGTGCCACACTCCTCCTCATAAAGCCCTGCCTCCTGAAAGATCTGTTCTGCATACAGACTGAAAAGGTATGGGGACAGGATGCATCCCTGACACGCTTCTTTCCTGATTTTCAACTACACAGTATTTCCTTGCTCTGTTCTGAGGACTGCTTTTTGGTCCAAGTATAGGTCTCTAATGGAGACTCCATTAACCAAAAGTGCAATGGACAAGGAGATGATGACACAAGTAGTGCTTGTGACACTTTTAGACTGAGTTAGTGGTAAATGAGTCAAGAAGGAAAGAAATTGTAGAACAGGTCTAGGAAGAAACAGGGCTGGGGTGGAGTAACTGTGTAGGATGCTTGGCTTGCAAAGGGGGAAGTCTGCTCACGTATGGTAAGCACACTTTGTAGGACAAACCGGGGCTCCCAGACACTGCAGAGGACGCATGCCATCCGTAGGGAGCACAGTGCATTTATCAACAGGCAGTTCCACACAAAAGTCCCAAAATAATTTCTAAGGAGTTGTCTCAACATAAGTTTAGGAAGATCTAAATAAGGAAATATGTCATAAAATTAATTGTTGTTGTTGTTGTTATTGTGGTTATGTGCCATTGATTCGCTTGCGACTCATAGCAGCCCTATGTACAACAGCTCTAAACTCTGCTCTGTCTTGTGC